TATCACAGTGACAAAATTCTCCCCACCTTCTTCAGAATGTCAGAGATTTATTTCTAAAAAAAATTATTACCAAATAGTGCATAATAATTTTAACTGTCCTTTTTATTACCAATGTTCCAGAACCATTTTATTATTTTATAATAAAAGCTACAAAATACAGAAAGTATATAGGCTCCATTCAAAGCAAGGTTAAAAAAAAAGACTATTTTTAGTTTGGGATTATCATATTAATAAGAAAATAAAAGATTTTCAGATTTTAAGACTGATCAATGTAATTTATATAATTACTAAGAAAGTCCTTACCTAAGCAGACAAAAAATACTGAAGACTTAGTTTCTGTAAGGTTTACTGTGGGGTAAACACTCTAATGAGCCTGCCCATTCCATTCATAACTCGAGAATCTCATACCTTGAACGAGATCACTTCCTGCTCATTAACACGTGTGCGGCTCGTTAAATGAACATGAGGTATCTCAGGGTGGGGAAGGCTATGGGGGGGGGGTAGTGATAGAACAGGCCAAGGGCTCCCCGACCCACTAAGATATCTCATGTTTCCCCCTCCCTTCCTGCTGCATCGGACTCACTTACCTTGAAAAGATCCATCTCCTCTCTGCCGCCGTTTCTGCCTTTTGAGGGAGAGGAGAGTTGATGGAAACTCCTGAGTACCTATAATATCGCTCAAGTTCAGGCATCCATCCTCTTTTGCAAAGAATGGGAGCCTGAACTCTCGCGGTGTTTGTGGTGTGCCCCCAACTCCTTTCCGCCACTGCCGGAACAATTTTCATCAGGACGGAGGCCTTGGGGAGACCGGAAGCTCCGTCTGCATGCAAATGCAGTTAGAAAGGGAGCAAAACACTCCATTTCTCAAACGCACCACTGGCAGCCATGCTGAACTTCCAGAATCTGTCAGGTCTCTGTCTGGGTAAAAAGACTTTTTAGAGCGCCTATGGGTCATTTGGAAATGAAACATTCGCTTCATTTTCAAATGCCCCATAGGGGCTGAAACACTTTTTATCCGAACAGAGAACTGACAGACAACTGCAAGCTCTGCGTGGCTGCCAGTGGCATGTTTGAGAAATGGAGAAGAAGACTCTTTCTCAAGCGCCCCATTCCAAGCATACGAAGCTTACAGTCTGTGTTAGGTCTCCGTTTGGATAAAAAGTGTTTCAGTGCTTATGGAGCGCTTCAAAACACAAGACACTGGCGGTGTCAGCTACCTGAACGGCTATGATTCCCCCCTCCCCAGCCACCCCGCCCAACCTACTCCTTGCCTGACCGGCTGGCTGGCACAAATCCTGAGCAATCTTCTTCTTGTCGACCTCCCCACTCAAGTGGTGGCAGCCACTTGAGTTTCTCGGCTCCATCTGGGTGTAAGAAAGTGGAGACACAGCACAGGATTGTTCTCAAGAAGATCCAGGTACACTGCTTGCTCACGTGCACCAGACTTGTTAAGAGCAATCTCGCTGTTGCGCCTCTGCTTTTTTCCACTCAGATGGAGCCAAGAAACCAAAGCTGCTGGCGGAGGCGGCGGTAGCTGCCACCTGAGCAGCCATAATCCCCTCCGCCCAGCCACCCTGCCTGACCTGACCTACTTGTTGCCTGGCAGGCCAGCTGGCACAAATCCTGACCACTCTTCTCGTTATCCTCTCTACTCAAGCAGCAGCAGCGGCTTGAGTTTCTTGGCTCCGTCCGAGTGGAGAAAACCAAAGGCACAGCAGCGGGATTGCTCTCAATAAGGCCGGCGCAAGTGAGTGAGCAGCACAGAGCAATCCTGCTGCTGCATCTCCGCTTTCTTCGTTTTGGATGGAGCCAAGAAACTCAAACCGCTGCCATCGCTTGAGTGGGGAGGACGACAAGGAGAAGAGTGGTCAGGATTTGTGCCAGCCAGCCGGTCAGGCAAGGAGTAGGTTGGGCAGGGTGGGTGGGTGGCTGACTGGAGCAGGGGAATCATGGCTGCTCACGTGGCTACTGCCACCGGTGGCGGCGTCTTGGACGCAGGTACAAGGGGCCTGGCTCTGCAATGCCTCCTCGCTCAGTTGAAGGCTTTGTTTCTGCCCTCAAACTAAGGCCGGCACACATGAGCAAGCAGCACACCCGGGCAATGGATGGCATTGGTTCCTGTGCCCGGCCAACTCCGATTCCACACTTTGCCCCATAGGCATGCAAATGAAGCAAACAATCCCCCCCCCCGAAAATGGAAGCTTCTGGGGACCATGATGTCTTTTGCAGAGAATTTGTGTTTGAATTTGCGTGATATTACGGCACCCAGGAGCTTCCATTTTTGGCGCAAAAAGCATTTCCAAGCTGATTCTCCTCTCCCTCAAAGAGAAAGAAACCGCAGCAGAAAGGAGACAGATTTTGCAAGGTGAATGTATCCAGCGCGGCTGGGAGGGGAAAGCAGTTGTGGGAAGTGGGGGGGGGGGAAATAGAGTGAATGTTGCAGAGCCATGGTGCTGCATTATTTGTGATTTTGAGATTTGCTCGTAAACACTAGGGGGCGTCTGTCAGTAACTTCAAACGAGTGTTAAGTAAATGCTCGTAACTCTGGGATTACCTGTAATTATCCCTTTGTACAATCTAATAAATGTAGGCATGTTTAAGGTCACACACTATATACAACTTCTGTTTACATAGTTATTAGTGTCAGTTCTGATATTTTAAAATTCTTAAAAAGCACTTTACACTTAAGATAACTCTAAGAATACACTAGAATTCAGACATAATTTGTTTTGTTCTTGCTATATAGTAAAAGCAAACAGAATATATCACTGGAGTATTTTTGTTCATTATTCTTTCAAAACCTTTTTCAGATGAAAAAAAATCAACTAATGGTGAGTTGTCTTTTAACGCAAGCCACCATCAATCTCATGTCTGATTACCATCTCATTATTTAATTAGAAACATGGCTGGTCCTGTATTAGTAAGCAACAACAAAATTTTACAATCAACATAAAACAAAATCCTGATTATGTTGAAGTTATCAGATCCCAGTTGAGTAACTTTATTATGTATCTCAATTTTGTTGTTGACACAATGTGGAATCGCAAGCAAAAGTACAGTTAATGAAATTTTCTTATTACATACTCAAAAGGAGAATTTAGGAAAGATAATTGCCATGACTTCCCTAGCAAATCTATCTTCACACTTACCAGTTTTAGAGGTTGACTGAGTTGAAGCCATTAGATCTGTTGGCAGCATCCATTCTGGAAGCTGTCTTTTTCGCTGAGCAGGCCTTGATTCTTCTTTTTTAGGAAGAGTAAACTATAAACAAAAAAGTAAATTAATATATTATTACATATTTTTCACAGGGATTAAAAAAAAGAATATTAACACACATGAGATCAATGAACATCCTTCTCCGTAGTTGTCACAATACCTTATATTCCTATATTAATGCAGCTGTATCATGCCCTAGTCAACTCATGTTTGGATGTTTTGAAAGTCCCTGAAAACCTAACTGTTCTCCCTGGCCTCCCTCAAGGCTAAAGGTAGTCCTTGACTCATGACCAGTTGCTTAACAACCATTCAAAGTTATGATGACTAAAATAAAGTTATTTACAACCCGTCCTTGGAATTACAATTGCTGCGTCACCCCTACAACCATGTGATAGTATTTCCGATGCTTTGCAGTTGTTTCACATTTATGACTAGTTGCAATACCCTATAATCATGTAATCATGTTTTGTGCAAGTTTTGCCATGGGCATTAAGTAAATCATTTGGTTAACGACCATATAGTAACTCAATGGCCAATGTAAAAAATAGTTGTAAAATTGAGCCTGGTTACGCAATGACTCTATTTATGACCATAAAAAGCTTACAATCAAAATTCCAGATTCAAATGTGATCATAATTTGAGGGCTACAGGTTACTGTTGTTGTTTGATTTGGTTTCTGTTCTCTTCTAGATGACTATGATCTTTTTTCAGTTTTTACTAGTCTTGTTCTTGAATCAGAGTAGGCAAGCTGCCCAAAGTTATTTTTTTGTATCCTGCCTTTATTATTTTTACAAGTAACCTAAGGTGGTGAACATATCCCTTACACCTTTCTCCTCTGGTTTTCCCCACAACAAAGACTTCTAAAGAAGTTAATCCCAGTGAGTTCAACAAAGACTATTCCACTCACAGTAAAGAGATATACTTTCAACCTAACTCTTTCACCGGGTAATAACACTCTTTACATGACAGAAGTAACTTCATCCAAAACAAGCTCTCTTGAGATGCCACCCGAGATCACAAGATTGAAACTAATAATCCATACAGAATTCACATTCACTTGTCTGGATTTGAATCTATATTGTGTAGAGGCGCAGGAAGACAGGCCAAGGTAAGTAATACCTGGGGACATCTTGGATAATAAAGACCTAACTTTTAGCTTACTGGCTCAGCCCTGTCACCACAACTTCTCTGAAAATAGATTTTCTACTACCTCATATTTCTTCTTATATGTGAAAAACATCTCCATCGTAAAATTCATTTAATTTTTCCATTAATAAAATTGCACTACACCATAATTGAAAATTACCTTCTCTGGGATTTCGGTTGCGTTTTCCACAAGTGAATGTACTTCTGGAAGCTGTTTTTTGTTAGAAGGGATTGTTGATTGTTCTGAAGGCTGACTGTGAGACATCATGGTTGACTGCAGAGTTGTAGGGATTTGATCTGGTAGGTCTTCTACACAGAGATTACCATTTTCCCTATTGCATATAATAAATCTCTTAATGGCAATGGATTGGCACAGATTGTTACTCATTACTTAGTAGAAGAAATTAAACTTTCTACCCAAAGTTATGATTTGGGACTCAAATTATTTCAGTGGAATTATTTTTATTGTTTCTTATTGTTGTTGCTGCAGTTGTTATATTTCTTTTAACCCTTTTTATTTTGTGACTTCAGGTCAATTTTTGACTTCTAGTCCCTACAGCATTCTTTACAAAATTTCAGAAGGAGTTTGCCATTGGCCCCTTCTAAGGCTGGGGGAAAGGGACCAGCCCAAACTCGCTACCAAAGACTGAAGAAATAAGCAAATTAAGTGTCTTGGAATCAAAAGCAGCATCTACAAGAAGCTTTTTTTCTTTAATCTTAAAGGAGCTATGTCTCTTTCCAGGCTTGTTTGCTGCTTGGAAAGCTGATCCCATTGTTGCTGCTAAACAAAGTAGTTCTGCATGTGTACAGAGGGGCAGCTGGAAGCTGCTTCAAAACAGCTGTGCAAGCCAGAAAAATATAACAATGGAAGGTTGCTTCATATGTGCTCCTGCCTGTTCCAAAGAATGCCTTTTAAAGAATTTGTACAATCCAATGTAATGAATCAGTAAACTATATATAAGCTTCTGTAGTTTTTCCATGATAATAGACAATACGTTCTGGATCTTATTTAGCATATATATAAGTGCTACAATATTTTTTTTAAGCACAAAACAAATACTGTTCATAGACAAGAGAAAAATAAGTATTTTATGTTAAATACTATGAATTTAATGCCCTATAAATTTAAGGTATTTATTCCCTGCTATTTTAGTAAAGCTAATGTTCCTACTCCATTCCACATCAGGAATGAACATTTGACCAAAAAAAAATCTGTTTTGCTCTGAAATATTACACAGAGGTTTGTTGCAGTGCTGTCCTTGAACTGTCATTACAACTTTCATTACTTTTTGTGATTTTGAAAAAAAACTGATGTTTCAATTATCTAACAATACAGGAACATCCAATATTTAAAATATTAGTATATTTATATATATGTGTGTGTATATATGTATATATGTATGTACAAAATCTCTAATTACATTTTGCATATGTACAATTGTTATAGTATTCATCTTATTTTTTTGTGCTGAAGGAGTAATACCTGCAATTACAGCTGAGATAAATAGAACAAATAATTTATTCAGCTACCACTTATCATAATGACTCAAACATAATTTGACTCATTTAGCATACTGCATATCAGATTATATTTTAAGAGGCAACTTGACACTGAAACTCACTGACACTTTTTCAACATCAAATCTCATTACCTTAGCAGGCTTTCCTTTTCCAGTGAAGTACGCAGAACCTTGAAAATGTATTTGTCTACTAACAGAGAAAAACTGTCACCTGGACACAACTGATGCCACTTATCTCTATCCAGTGGAAATAGTTGGTCATCTTCAACAGGCCAGTAAAAACAAGGGTTCACATGGACCTGCCAATTAAGAAGACTCTTAGTACAGATATCAGTGAAGACCTTGTAGGACTTAATAGGCTTATTTAATGTGGACTGATTCCATTACAATGCAGCAATGCAGCTTATTCTGGGAGAGTAATTACTTTAACACAATGAGAAAATGATTGTTATATATTAATTGAATTCACAGACCACAAATAAGGTTTACTAGTACAGGATCAAGAAAATTCCTTGCATGAGGTATTTCCATCAATTTACACTCTGTGGAGATTAACCAAAGCTACCTCATGTTTAGTGTTTTGACTTTTGTGTATTGTATAAGTACGTGCAGACTGCCCTGGCAGTTGGAACACGTATGAAGTACAAATAAATGTTATCTGTGTCTGTGTCTAGCAAATAGCTAACCAGAAGGTTGTTATTTCCTCCTTGAGAGCGAGGTCTTTGTGTAAAATTTCAATAA